TTTCTGCTAATATCCTAATATTCTGCCTGATTTGTAAACTAGTTTTGTGTCAATTATATTACTATTTTTTACAAAATCGTGATTATATTTGTTTAGTTGTATATGTTAGAATGAAATACATAGTGTTTTTTGATGACACTCATGTGGATATATTGAATTCACAAAGCGTTATGCTTATGGATTACGAGGATTATTCTATTGATGATTAAAATGGATTATCCATTGAACATGTTGTTCGCATTCAAGCCTTGTGGAAAGATGAACCATACGATGCATGTCTTCTGCAAGTTGTCCCCAAGAATGATAATTGTCAACAAACTATAAATAGTTTGAGACATGCAGTTAAAATTAAAAAATTTGGTGCACAGAGATTGATAAAATACCTCAACTTCAGGTATTTATAAAGACTTATTGGTTTGTTTTTTTTTTCATGAAAGTTTAGTAATAACTTTAGTTCTTTTATAATTTGTTGAGAGTGCGACCTAATAAAAGAACAACTTTACAGTCATTAGAAAACATCACTAGTGGAACTGACTCTGATGCCTCGATACCGCTGTTTATTAAACCACTGAATGCTAAAATTAGCAAGCCGTTATCACCGCTTTGTTCTCCAACTTTAGTCATAACGCATATATCACAAATCCCACCTCCTAACGTCCTAACCTCCACCTCCTAACGTCCTAACCTCCACCTCCTAACGTTTTTAATTTTTCTAAACCTTTGGAATGTAAAGTCTCAGCTTCTGCCTCAGTTGGCCCAAAAACAAAGCGAGCAAATAATACTCGTGTAGTGCTTGGCGAGCTTAATGCTCTTTGCATGGAGGCAGTCATTGATTCTGACACAGTTCAAGCTGTTCGATATGGTCAGGCAATCATTTTGCAAAAATTAGCACTTATTTTGCAACGACTGGACAGCTTGACAGGTACAACAGCGAAAGCACCATCGTTATTTGAAGGTCACCGAAAAATTCCTTTGTTTCGTACAATTGATGATTTAGCAAATGTAGATACTGCTTTATCTGAAAATATATTTCAATGGATGCTACAAGAGGGTGGCCGTGATGCCAATGATCTTTGTGATCATTTATTAAATCTTCTTTTATCTGTCGATTTGGCAAAACAACTCAATCGAAGTGGTAAAAATGGAAAATTAAAACTTTCAGTTAAGTTAGAACAATTTGTTAAGGACTGTGTATTGACTAAATATCCAAATGAAACTCAAAATCTTTTAGAATTGCGCATTAAAAGATTTTTGCACAATGCTATGGATAAAAATGGTAGCAGAGCTGAAAGACGAATTTCTAAATGTCCTAAAAGTATACTTATTTTTTATATACTAGCTGAATTGACCCGTAAAAATACGGGTCAATTCATACGGGACTTACAAAGAAGTCTATTCTACACAAACTTTTTCCCTTATTTTCTTAATCTAGCTGTCCGTATCGGTAAATACAGGTCTTTTCTTCTACTTCTATATTTATCTATTCCACGCCAATCATTTCTTTACTTGTTCCTTATTTACTTCAATATTTTTTAGTAAACGGTGCAAAAAAAATCATTAAAAAAATTTGCTTTGAGAGCAAAAAAAAACTTTAACATACGCACTTTTTCCGCATACGTATATAGCTTATTAAACCCCGTTTATTTATTTATTTTTTTTTAAAAATTCTGAACTAAACTACTTCCTACTTTTAGACCAGCCATGCAGTAGCGTAGCAAAGGGCCCGCAGGGCCCGCAGCCGCGGGGAGGCCCAGAGTTATTAGGGGCTCAAGGCAACAAAGAAAAAATTTAAAAAAAAATGTCAGTACAATAAATAACATGCGTATATCATTAGTTTGTGTTTTAGATTACCGTTTTTTTATTTTCATGTATAACTTATTTGTCTAGAAGGAAGGTAAAGGCAAGGTGGTGGTGGGGGGGTGGGGGAAAGGAATAGAAAAGAAGTAATTTAGGGGCCCGGGTTAAATTTTTGCGGGGGTGGGGGGCCAATTTTTTTGTCGCTACGCTACTGCAGCCATGGACCATGGTTTATGGTCGCGTCCTAGCCATTTTCAATAGTTACTATTTACTATATTTATTGTTATTATATGCTTAGTTTTGAATAATAACGGTCTTTTATAGTTACCTTTGTATTAGACGGAAACGGTAATGCAATTCTTTAAAACGTTAGTCACTTAAAGCGTCAAAAGTCATGCAAAAAAATAAATTATAAATTTTGTGGTTTAAAAGTTGAAAAACTAATAATAATATAATAAAAGGTTTGGTAATTTTTAAACGTTATTATTTAGCTCTTACTTATAGTATTTATTTTGTTTTCATTTTACATTTTTAAAAAAATGTTGAAGCACCTAACTACATGCATAACTTTGATAGCTCACAAGTTAAGTGCGCAGTCATCAGAGTCGCTGTGCAAGGCTTCAAATCCGCGCCTAAAAAATCTCAATACATTTTTTTTTTAATTTTTTTAATCTGGCTATATTTATAGCAAAAAAAATTTTTTCCCTGCCTCCACTGCAATACCATGTGGAGTAGCAGGACGGTTTTATCAAATTTTTTCCTTATTAGGTTTTAGGACCTTTTTTTTTTAAACTATCCGTAGCTTATTAGGACCAATTATGTGAGAACAGTATCAAAATCATGACACACACGCAACAAATTTTCGCCCCGTTTATTGGTGTTTTTAGAAATCCAAAAAATTAATAAAATTTAAAAAGAAAAAACGGTTTAAGTGTATAACATTTAACTTGTTTAACTTTACAAATATTTTGTAATTTAAAGATTCTAAGAAAAAAATCGCTGGCGGTAAATTTGAACCACGACTATTACGTTCAGAAGCTTAGCTCGCTAACCATTCGGCCATGCTGACACATCAAATATCGAAATTTTAAAAATATATAAAAATTGTTTTAAACGGAATTGCTGTAGATCAAAAATTAAGAAGAGGTTGACGCAATGCAATTTTTAAGTCAAAGTCAAACTATAAAACTTGAAAAATGTTTCAGTATGTTTTATCATTACTTAATTACGTACGTTAGATATTTGTATACACGTTTTCTTATAAAAAAAGTGTTGCGACTCTTTCTACTAACACTATTAAGTTCGGCATTATTATATAGAAGATAGATAGATTATAAAATAGTTTTTCACCTAAAAGGACAAACTCTATTCCACATTAACCTTATCTCCATTTCTCCCTCTAATATTTTTTAGTGATCAATCGATTATGTGCTTGAAAAAAAAAAAAAAAATTCACATATGCACCTTTTCCGTATATTTATATTTAGAGCTTAACATGAAGAAGGTAAACCATTTAGTTCAAGACAACCTGCCCAAACCCAAATCCTCTGTTGATTTATGCACACTCACTGTGGCTAGGCGTGTAAAATAAGTAGCTAGGCAAGTCAAATAAATTAACTTGATCTGTTTTTCTGCATAAAACAAAAACAGAAAATGTGAAGTACTTGAAAAGGAACTGTAATATTGGATTTAGTTAATTCAATACAAAGTGATAGGAAACTGCAAAATAAGGTAACAACGTGAAAATTATTGAAATACTAATTTACAACAATTTGTATTGCGTTTTATTAAAATAGCTTTATTAAATGGTATGAAGATTGATGATTCTTCTTCTTCGCTTTTAGAAAATGATTAACGATTTGAAAGACTTTTAAATTGATTATAAAAGCATTATCTAAAAACGAAATAAAATCATTATTGATAACACTGAATGCACATTTATTTGTTTTATGTTAATTCATTTGAAAAATAAAAAATACGAAACGAAATTTAGTAATATTAAAGAAATATTAAACACTTACTTTGTGAGAGTGCTTTTGGAAAAGTCTCTAATATTTGGTTAGAAGGCTGGAAATAATCTTTTTTTTAAAAAATTCAGTTTTATCAGCATTGCTAAAGATAAAAATTTTTATTGACACAAAAAAATTCGGCATTTTTTCTTAAAATATTTCTTGGCTTTTAGTGAATGATTAGGAGTAAGTTTCAGTAATGAAGCTACCCAATAATCATTTTTAACCATAGACATCAACGTGAAGGTAAGCCAAGCTGTCTATCAACACAAAACATCACAACAACATTATAGGATGACAAACAATAACACCAGTAGTGTTGGCAGGATTTTTGTTGTTTCAGATATATATTTAGAGGCTGTTGAAGAGTTTAACTTTGTTATGTCTAAAAAAATTCAGGTTAGGAAAAACACTTTTTTTAAACATTTGTTCCTAAGCTTTAACAACATCAATTTTTTGCAAAGTATTTTAATTCTATAAACGTGAATACACTTAAGTTTGGTTGAAAGTGCTATATAAAGCATCAAAAGACCCTGCCTATGCTACTGAATACACATAGCATAAATTATTTTTACATAACACATTTGCACATAACACAAAATATTCATATTATGTGTTTCCAGAATAATTAAAAAAGCTAGACAACACAACCTAGCTCAACACTTGTAACACCGCTTGGCACTAAACGCTGCTAAGTAACACCACAATTTAGTAACACCGCTTGGCATTAAGTGCCAAGTAACACCACTAATTAGTAACACCGCTTGGCTAGCAAGAATCACAATCTTGCACTACACGTTGCCAAGTAACATCACTTTTCACATGGAAACAACATAATATAAACTTATATAAACTTAAGCACATAAATATAAATAAAGATATATAAACGCATATCTGATTAATTTTTTGCTATACTAATCTAAAATGAACAAAAACAATAAAGTGCTATTTATCAGTTTAAACCTATGAAACTATGTGTATAGCGTCTAATAAAATTTGTGAACAAAAATTATAACTAAACTGGTTTGAAACAGAGAAAAAGCCAGAAGTATCTTGTAATAACATACTATATTGTAAGTAATAAAACAGTGTTTTTAGAAACAAATAAAAAATTTTATTATTTTAAAAGTCATATTAATGGTTTTGTTAAAAAGCAAAATTAGTTACAAATTAATTTTAATAATACTAAACTAAAAATGACATGCCAACAATTGCAAACATGTTGCATCATATAGACCACATGTGGCTGACAACTGATTTTAAATACTATTTTATAATATATCTAAAGAGAATAATGTAAAGAGATTAATAGGTGTATAGTGCATATATTAGACATTAAACAGATATCATAGAAAAAGAAAAATTTTAAATATATTTACCAAATCTTTCAAAAACTATATAACACTTAACAAAAATAAGTTAATACAAAAGAAAATTTAGTATTATTAAAATTAAAAATGAAGATAAAAAGATGTAAAAACGTAAATTAATAAAAAAACTTATAGACAAATTATTAAAAACTTTTATAACATAAGAGTTCTTTTGTAAGTTTAGGATTTAAAAACAGAATTAAAAATCAAAAAAATAAAATAGTGAAAGTATAAAATTTAAAATAATAAAAAATTGCAAAATTAAAAAAAAACATTTTTTTAAAAAGTCAATTTTCTTTATAATTAAAGATGAAGATAATTCTACCAGTAGCTTAAAAAAGCTACTGGTAGAAATTAAAAGAGTTGAACCGCTTCCCAGCACCCCTCCTTCTACCAGTGGTGTCATATGGGGCTTGTCTCCTCCATCTAAAGGAGGGATCATCTCCCCCATATTGACACCACCGGTAGAAAGCTCTTTGAGATATCGGACCTGGGTGCTGGGAGCAATATCGCAGGAAATCTTGATGCGCTGCTAAAAAACAAAAACAAAAAAAGAAATAAATTTGAATGCAATACTGCACAAAACAACCAATAAAAATATTATTTAAAACTATTTAGACTTTAAAAAAAAAAAGTTATGACAAAAAAAAATAAAAAAAAAGTAATGTAAAAATAAGGATACGCAATGTTTAAATTTCATATATACCTACACAAATACACATAACACCCATAAAACTGCATAAGCATGCAAAACAGATTACCTGATGGTCCTGCAGATATTGTTGCTATTAGAGAAATAAATAAAAAATATGAACTAACACATATATTAAACAGTTATGTAATTGCATACAAACATGAAAAAAGTAATGTTTAGGTTTCAATACACATAACACTGCATAAGTATGGAAAAACTACATAAGTATGGAAAACACATTACCTGGTGGTACTGCAGTTGATACTGTTGCTATTACGGAAATAAATAAAAAAGTATATAAACAAACACATATTAAACAGTTATGTAATTGCATACAAACACGAAAAAAGTATTGTTTAAGTTCCAATACACATAACACTCATAAAACTGCATAAGTATGCAAAACATATTACCTGATGGTACTGCAGATGATATTGATGCTATTGTGAAAGTAAAAAAAAAAAGTGTATAAAGTAACATATGTTATACATTTATGTAATTGATAACAAACATGAAAAAAGTAATGTTTAAGTTTTATTACACATAAAACCCATAAAACTGCATAAGTATGCTAAACAGATTACCTGATATTATTGCTTGAGGTGTTAATGTAGAGACAAAAAAAAAAAAAAATAAAGTGATGTGCAAAATAAGATATGCAATCTTTAAGTTTTAATACACATAACACTCATAAAACTGCATAAGTATGCAAAACATAATACCTGATGGTACTGCAGATGATATTGATGCTATTGTAAAGGTAAAAAAAAATGTATAAAGTAACATATGTTGTAAATTTATGTAATTGATAACAAACATGAAAAAAGTAATGTTTAAGTTTTAATACACATAACACTCATAAAACTGCATAAGTATGCAAAACACATTACCTGATGGCACTGCAGATGATATTGATGCTATTGTAAAAGTAAAAAAAAAAGTGTATAAAGTAACATATGTTAAACATTTATGTAATTGCATAAAAACATGAAAAAAAAAAAAATTTAAGTTTTAATACACATAAAACCCATAAAACTGCATAAGTATGCTAAACAGATTACCTGATATTATTGCTTGAGGTGTTAATGTAGAGACAAAAAATAATAATAAAGTAATCTGTAAATTAAGATATGCTATCTTTAAGTTTTAACACACATAACACTCTTAAAACTGCATAAGAATGCAAAACACATCACCAGATGGTACTGCAGATGACGCTATAGTGGATGTAAAAAATATATTTACATAAACTAACATATACTAATCAATTAAACAGTTTATTTTAAGTGATAAAACCGCACACAAACATCAAAAAAAGTGTAATAAAATTAAACAAAATGAAACATAAGTGAACTTTGCTTACCAATTGAATTTTCTAATTTTTCTAAATAGAATAAAAAAAAACTCATTAACATTAAGAAAGAAACTAACATGCAGAATATTTGTCAACTTTAGGAAATCCATAAATAAAGTTGGAACAATACAAAAGCCAAAAATAACAATCACGAAACAAAACAAACCAAAAAAAAAAAAAAGAAAAAAGTGCCAAAAAAAAAAGAAAAAATAAAAATAAAGAAGAACATTATAGTAATTTACTTAGCTGTTGAAGTATAAGCCCTATAAAAAAAATGCTAAAAATTGTATCAAAAAAGCTAAAAGACCAAAGAGTAGACCTTTTTTTTTTGAAAGTAAAATGCTATATCTTTATCTATAATACACAAATGAAATATAATCAAATTCTGTTTACCCATTGAATGTTCTACTTTTTCTAAATAAAATGAAAAACTTATAAACATAAAAATAAACTAACTTGCCATATATAGAATAACTTTATGTTAAATAAATATGTAATAAAAAAAATAAAAAGCATGACAACAACAATAACAAATTGCTTACATAGATTCTCAACTGAATCTTCTAATTTTTCTAAATAAAATAAATTTAAAAGTTACAAAAGTCACTTGCTGACTGACAAACTGTCACAACTGACAAAAGTCAGTTGCTAAATAACTTTAAAAAAACTAAAAAAGCATAACTGTATTTGCACACAAAAAAAAAAACAACAACAACAAAAAAATTCCTGACTTAGCTTGTCCATTACTTCCGCTAAACATTAAAAAAAAGTTATAATTAACAAATTGCTGAAATTGGTGAAATATATATCTTTGTAACATATCCTTCTCATACAAAGTTAGCTTACTTGGCAAGAACTCTTCGGCTCTGATCTCTTGAACATCTAATATATATATATAGACAAAATTAATTTTCAAAATATTTACTTTTTCAATTAAACATATAAGATTTGTCTTAAATTATAAAACTGTTGCACAGTTTTATAATTTAACACATTCAGTAAATGACAAAAAGTTTCATTTTACGTGAAAGTTTAGTAGTTAAAAGACTTAAAAGTCTATTTTAGCTTAAACACGTTTTATAAAATTATAGCTTAAACACCTTAAAGCTTCTATGTGTTTTTAAGGTTTACTGCTTTACAAAAACATCAATCAAAATAGCGGAATAAACAAAAACTGAGTTTTGGGTCCACCCTCTTAAAGTTCTAAAAATTAATTTATATATTTTTTAACTTTAGTTAAATTTTAGGGTGGTGTGCTTGATTCACGGGGTTAGGGGAGGGCAGCATATCTTGGTTGATTTCAATTAAAAGCGGCTAAAATAAATCATCGTTTTATTCACACGTGAATCAAGTACAGCGTTTTTATGTTTTTAGAAATTTTAAAAAACGTTTTAAAAAATTCTCCCCGTTTGGTTTGTTATAGTATATTATATCTTTATTTTTATGTAATGCGTATAACATCTATATGCATTTAAACTTGTTTTTCTTTGTTTTCTAGAAAACTGGAAAAGATTTAAAAAAAAAATTGTGTAAGCAAAAGATTTTGAACCCAAGCGAAGCATTTCAATCGCTTTGGAATGCTATATCATCTTTTTACACTATTTAATAAACAGAAAACTTATTAAACTTTAAAAAACAACATTTAATGCTTTAAAATAAAGAGATATTGTCGCAATGAAATTTTTAAGTAAAAATAAATCGGTAGAATTTGATGTCATCTACTTCATAATAATACTGATTGATAATTAAAGAACTTAAAGTTTACATATTTAGATATTTGAATAGACTTTCGTTCACATTGTTAAAAAACAAATCATAACGGATTGTGGTTCCGAAAAAAAAGGTTAATACACTACCATCTGTAATTATTGGAAAGGTCATATTTTTTAATATCAAAGATATCAAAGTTTGGCGAAAAAGTGAAAACAATGTCTACCTGAATTATATGTTATCTTCCTATTTATTAGGTTTACAAATAAAACTTCCCTGATTAGTTTATAATTTATTCAAAAACCTGATTAGCTTTTAATTTATTTGCCTATTAATCACCCTTAACAACAATAACCACCATAAATATATTCTTAGCATTCTACTTAACGACTTATCTAATTAGTCTATTTTGTCACTAAGTTTTTTCAAAAAAAAAAAATACACATGTATTAACTGTATATCAATTTATTTATCTATTTAATTTAATATATATATAATATATAATTTAATATATATAATTTAATCTAATTAATATAATTGAAATACTACTAATCAATTTACTGATATTTTTTCTATAGCATTGTTAAAAATGGTTATATTCTGAAAGGTAAAGAAATTTATTGAAAAGAAAGTTGCACAAAAGAAAAAAAAAAACTAAATAAAAGTTACTTGTTTCAAAAAACGTTTTACGAAGAGTTTTTCCAAACAATTTTATTTTTAATTGCGTTTTTTTTTTAATTACGTCATAAGCATATTAAGGCGTTTTGAAAAACAGTTGCTGTATATATTTATAGTAAAAAAGTTAATGTAGCAAAATAAACTTTTAATTGCCAAAAGAAAGTTTTAAAGTTTTATCTAGCTACAGGCTTTTTTTTTTTTTTTTGCCTCCACAGCAGCATCTTCTGAAGTAGCAGAGCTGTCTTGTTAAGTTTTTTCTTTATTAAGTTTCAGACAACTTTTTTTTCAGACCATCCGCAGCTTATTAGGACTAATTACATGAGCACATTAATAACATAAGTGTCTCAATTATCATAGATACGCAACATATTTTTTCTCCTAGTGATGTTTTTTTTTTTTTTTAAATGTTTTATGAAGTTTTAGCTTTCTTAAAATCTTTTCTTTTGTGAGTGCATAACATCGTTACATATGTTTGTATATAATCTTTATAAAACTTCGAAAGTATTTTGTATTTTAAAATAATTAAAAAAATTAAAAAAAATAGCCGCCATTGGTAGGAGTCGAACCTCTAGCTCCTTGTTCAGAAGTTCGCCGCCTTATCCACTCGAGCTACACCGGCATATCATTATGTGTAGATTTTATAATAATGTAGTAATTTTTTTAAGGAAAAAATTGTTAGATCAAAATTAAGGAGAGGTTGACACAATGTAATTTTCAAGTAAAAATCAAACTGTAAAACATAATAAATGTTTCAGTATGTTTTAACATTTGCTTTAATCTTACTTAGTTTAAAGTTTACGTACGTTAGATATTCGTTCACGTATTCTTATAGTGCTGCGACTCTTTCTTGCCAATACCTCGGTTGCAATGGCTGCCAAGGGTTTTGTGTCAAATACGCTCCAAGGGACACTACTATTAAGTTTGGCAATATTATATAGAAGATTATTATAACCTTGCTATTTTTTTAGATAACACATATTATTTTCCCCAATACCATAGAGAATTCAAACAAGAATATATGTTGTATATGAGTTTATGTATACATCCCTGGTATTTGCAATATGTTATATATAAAAAATGTGTTTTGTTGAAATATATACTTTTGAAGTGCTTTGGAACACAATAATTTGCACAATACCATGGATAAAAAAGATATCAGTCCTGAAGATCCTGATTATAAACATCTGAAAAGTAATAGTTTTTTAGACAATGTGTGTGTATATATATATATATATATATATATATATATATATATATATATATATATATATATATATATATATATATATATATATATATATATATATATATACTTATTTATTGATTTATAAAACCATTTCCTGCTTTTGTATTCAGAAAACGAATGTTTTTTAGATACTGAACAAATCGACTATGAGCATCAGTGCACGAACAAGCATAAAAATATTAGCAGATTGAATTTGTGTGATGATCCTGAATCAGAATAATTAATTTAAAATATATACATAATTTTGTTTTATACTTGTTTTTTATATATAATTGCTTTATTCT